GCGTATTCAACGCAGCAGAAGATTCAAAGGGAGAAGTGGAACTGGAGCATCAGGACTCTTCTATGCCCACGTCATCGCTCGCCGAAGCCCGCAGCTGCTGCAGCGGCCAATGCACCCCTAGGCGGAATGAGTCGTCAGAAGCATCCGGGCAGTCGGCAGCAGCAGCAGCCGTGGCAGTTCCCTTTAAGCAAGACCGTTCTGTAGGAACAGCCAGGAGGCGGCAACATGACCCGTTTTCAGAAGCTGTGCTGCAGCTGCTGCACGACGAAAAGCAGCAGCAGCAGCAGCAGCAGCAGCAAAGGGCAGTCAGGAGAAATCATCCTACCTCGGCCCACAAAGTCCAGCAGCAGCAGCCGCAACAGAAAGAAGTGTATGCTGCTTCTCTATCCCCACCAGGTCGCTCTATCGCAATGAAGAAGCAGCATTCTGTGCAGCATCAAAACGTCAACCTTGCAAAACCAGACACCAGCGAGCAGCACTTGGCAGCAGAACATTCAGCACACAATGACGTGGGACCAGCATCAAAGACGGACGAAGGCGGAGCTGCAACACAGTCAGAATCAGCAGGAACGGCGGAGGGGAAAACAGCAGCAGCTCTTGCTGCTATTGTAGAAGCAGCATCTGCAGGGCTCCGCACTACAATGACTTCACAAGGGCAACCGCAGCAATGCCAGGAGCAGCGCCCCTACTCTGAAACGACGTCAAGCATTTCCATGGGAGATTCCTCATATGCATCCTCAAAGTCGGTGGTTGCAGAGACTGCTGCAGCAGAGGCTAAGGCCACTCCAGCTAAAGCTGTTGCCGCATCCACTTCAGAGCCCGTTGCCGCAGCAGCAGGTCCAGAGGCAGAAGCAACTGCAGAAACAGCAGAAAAAAAGCCGGAAGTAGCACTAACAGAAAGTGCAACAGGTGAGAACAAGCCAAACAAGCAGCAGCAGCAGCTCCAGGGCAAACCAGTGTCCGCTGGGAAGACGACATCGTCCACAGAAAGCAAGCGCCACATGCAACGCGGTGTCAGCACCAGCTGTAACAGCAGTAGCAACAGCAGCAGCAACAACAACAACGTCAGCAGTAGCAACAGCAGTAGCAGCAGCAACAACAGTAGCAGCAACAGCAGTAGCAGCAACAGCAGATCCGCCAATTCCAGAACAGCTGTAGCGAAGCGGTTCGGGGGGCAGCCGGACGAGGCAGGAACACGAAGTGAGCAGACGGTGCTGCAAAGGCGCTTGCCCCAGCAGCAGTATTCAAGGCAGCAACAGCAGCAGAAGAAAGCAACAGCAAAATCAGCGGCAGCAGCTGCAGCAGCTGCAGACAAACCAGGCCTTAGCGCTACTTCAGCTCCTACCCATAGCACTACGGCGCCTCAGCAACAACAGCGGCGAGAGCGGCAGCTGTTGCTACTGCAGCAGCAGCGGCAACGACTGAGGCGGGAAAAGCAATTGCAGCAGCAGCAGCAGCTATCTCCTCTGGAGGAGTTGAAACTTCGGAGAATCAAAGTCAAAGAAATTGCTTTGCAGCAAAGACTAAAGGCTAGTGGACTGGCGTATGTACTTGAAATGATAAACCCAAACACGCACGTCTAGAGAGGCACTGAGTAGACCGGCGGATTGGCATGCCTGTGCGACTGTATATTTGCATGAGCCGCTCCTATGGTGCTATCGCTGTTGCTGCTGGTGCCGCTTTTGTTTCTGCAGGAAGCGCTTGCAGCAAGAAGATGATGTTCCGGCAGATTCGCCAACTAAGG